TTGCCCCTTTCAACTGGGCTAGGCGGCTTCGTTCCAAGCTGGTCCCTCTTGGACCGACGTAACAACAGGCATATCCGAGAGCAAGAGGAAAAGGTTTTTCCCCTCACAACCATGAACACTATCAATCTAATTGCTATGGTCACAATCACTTGACCACCATAATGCCTCATAACAAGGGAAAACATGTAAAAAATTTGACATAGGAGTCAAAATTTCGATAAAATAAAAACCCTATGCGACATCAGCTGCAAAGTTGGGAATAGTAGCAATCATATGATATTGTAAATGTTGAAATGAAGCAAAAAGCTCAATGAGAAATTTTGGAAAAGAAAATTCCTTGTTCTATTTTGCCAACATAATGGATGAATGAAAAATATTTAGTAGAATAAAAGCTCATTCAACTTATCCCTCAGGGTATTAAAGTATTTTTGCAAGAGGAACATAGGTTTTGAGGGAAAAATCCAAATAAGGGCACAAAGATGAGTTTTTTTTACTTGAGCTAGAACTAACTGAGTACTTCTTAGCAACGTCTAGAAATGAAAGTTGAGATGATAAAAAGTTTGTTTGTGCGCGCCTTCTCTATTGAATTCTATTTTGTGGTACACCTTAAAAAATGTAGGGTTACTTTTCTATGATTTCAAGTCTATACTTAAAAGTTTAGGAAATTTGTGTCATGTGACTCCTATCGAGCATGTTGATGTCGGAAGGTAATCCCGAACAAAATGAGGATGATCCTAAATTTAAACAAAATAAAGTTGAAGGTGAACCAAACTGAACCAAGGAGAACATGAATGAATGAGGGTGAACCCTTAGTTGTAAGTGATTCCAAATAAAGCCTTATAATACTCAGAGAGCTAAAAAAGAGGAGCCGAAGACCTCATAGGTCGAGTCTATTTAGTGATAGGTATGGTCCTAATTGTATCAATAAAAATGGTTGATACCATAACTACTTCAAAACATCAGAACCAAAAGCACAACTTTATTAAGCAAAGGGAAGAGGGTTACAATACAACTCAGAACAAAAATAAACACAACAAACTCCAATCCCCGGTTCAAGTCGGAAGAGGGGATCCAAAGGCGGTGGTAGAGTCAGCGAGGTGGGTAAAAGCGGTAATGGTAGGGAATGGGGAAAAGGTGTTGGAAAGCAGGGATAATGGTAGTCGGTGGCTAGGAGTGGGAGAGAAAGGGATAGGTTGGTTGGCAGTGGGATTGGGAGTTGCTGGAAGAAGCGTTTGTAGGTGGTTAAGACGTTAGGAATGGTGGGGCTGTTGTAGAGTATGGTTGGAGAGGATGATCGACATGTAAGGCTAAAAGAAAAAGGGGGGTGGGAGGGTTTTGGTGAGCGGTTGGAGGGGTTGGACAACAGTGATGGTTGTGAGGAAATGGGGCATTATGGACAGCGGGGATGAGAAAGAATGACCGACAGCTAAAGGAGGTGAAAAAGTGGTAGGGGGGAAAATAGGAAAGGATACAACACCACCGCACAGTGGGATACAACCGAAGCACCACCCATCATTGAACACAACCCTAAGCAATGAAAAGGAGACTCCCACGTAGAATCTGAAAACAGCAATCAAACATAATGTAACCCTAATCTTAGAAAACAACATATATATAAGACTCCACATAGAAAAATATATAAAAGGAAAGATAGGGGAAGGGCTTCCAACTTGATTGGTCCAGTTAGGGCCTAGACACAGACTCTTTGTAACTGTTGGCCCCTAGCCCCATGTCAATGGCATATTTAAATGCTTTCCATTTCGAAAACTTGATAATGCCATCAAAAGTTAGAGTTGATGATGAAGTTAACTAGGAGGCAAACGACCTCATCGTAAGAGATATTTGATACTATAATTTAATGTTACCAATGGTTGAGAATGATTTTAAAATATTGAGAAGAGAAAAAATCATGCTATCATTAAAGTAGACTGAGCTAGATAATAAAAAAATTAACTGAAATTATTTAGAATAGTTGATGAATGAAAGTGTGCCCAAAGTATTTGACAAGAAGCAACGAGAAAATATAAGTGACAACGATAGACGTGCAACGAGGTTTACATTCGAGATTGCAGATGTAGAGTGGATGCTATATAGTGTTTCAACATTAGCAAAAATAAAGCGCTATTATAGACAAGGAGCATGAGTGAAGCAGCAAAGTGAGCATGAGCAAAAGCAAGTGTAAAATACTGTACATTGTAACAACTAACATATGCAAGAATGCAACTATCTGACATGCCAATCATCACGTTAGTCCATCTCAGTGTTGTCAGTAGTACTAAGACAAAGACTCCATCAATTGACTATGGATTGGCCTCAAGTTAGGTATTGTCAAGCAAAGCCAGCATAACCTTCCTTAAAACCTAAAACCTTCAGTTATATTAAAATTCACCCCAGCTGCTTCAATTTTCCACCAATGTTGGATTTTCTTTAGAAATGTGTCTCTCTTTGATTAATAAAGTTGCACTAAAAGATGAGGACCCCTCCCCACACTACAAGCATATATTATGGTGGATGTTGGCTCCACCTTTTTCCCATGCCCATGGCTAAGGAAAGCCAGAGACTCAAACACCATCCCCTCCATGGCTAGTGGGTGGCCCAACGCCCTCTTTGTGAATAACCCATTGTGCATGCAATCAAAGGAGGTTGCCAATTGGCTCTCCTCAATGCCAGCTTCTTCGAGGTTGTCCACTCTTAAAATTCCTAGGAGTCGAACTCCTCATCCAAAACAATAATCCAGCATTCTTAAGAAGATAGGCTAATTTAGAAGTACAAACCTAAATTAGCTTCAAATTGGTCGGGCCACACAATAAACTCCGAATTCCATCCAATCTTCCCACTTAGATGAATGCTTATTAGATAATAAATTATGTATAAGTTTTGAAGACATGGCAATATGAGGATACCTTGATTATCTGAGGGCATGTATCTCAAAGGCCATCTAGCATACTTCTAAGAGTCTTGTTGGTGTTTCCTATCACAGTAATAGAGCTAGAGGTTTTTGGATAGTCCTATAATGCATAAATAGTGCATTCACAATCTTCCCTCCTGATAAAATTAGCTATGCAATGATTATCTAAGCAAAGACGAGAAAACACGTGTGTGGAGCGCATCTCAAACAACAATTTTTTTAAAATGGATGCACCATCCTCGACTTCAATTATAAATATGGAACATCCAGTATAATTTATTCATTTATTCTGCCATGCTCTCTGACATCCAAGAGATACACTAAACCCTTTCTTTAAAATTGTGCAAGAAAAGGCATACCTCAATGCATTGCTCCAAAAACCGCAATGAGATTTATGCCTCATTGATTGATGGTAGGGTGTAGCCTTACAATTACTAAGGCACGCTCTCGCTCAAATCGCAGTGAGATGTACTCAATAATAATTTAGGTTTTCTTCTCTTAAACCCTAATTACACTTGAGCCTCACACACCTCTAACCCGCGCACAATCACATTTTGTCTACTCGCCCCAACGATGGGAATTGTCACATTTCTCTTCAAACACCACCTCTGCCTCATCTGATAACTTCAACAACCTCCTCTAATGTCGTTGTCGGTCTTCTTAGCAACCGTCGTGGAGTTCTTTGTAGCAGCTGCCGCAACAATCCTTACACTCATCGTCATTGTCCTTGCAGTTCTCACCACTGTCCTTACAGTCACTACCGTTGTCCCTCATTTTAGGCCTAGCCATAGCCCTTGCTATTTCCAATTGTTGTCGTTGCCTTCCCTTGTTTCAATGGTGTCACCCTCCCTCTTTTTGACACTGCCACTGCCAGCCCTTACATTCAAACTCCATCACCACCAACCCTCCTTGGAGCCATTGTCTCTATCGCCATCACGTCAAAAAAAAAATTTTTTTTTCCGATGAAAATTTCAAATAAATTAATCTATTTAATTTGTTTATTTATTGTTTCTAACCCCATAAAATTTTCGAGGCAAGGAAAAATCAAATCAACAGAATCATTAAAAGGATTTGATTTGACATCAATACATAGTGTAAGTCAACATTTGAGGCCAAGACAAAACATATTTATTTGAAGTGTAAATTATTGCAAGAAGGTAGTTACATGGATAAAAAAACATCTCTGTCTCACACAAGGACGTTGCATCCTACGCCAAAGCGCCAGAAAACAACGAGAGGAGATTTAATCGTATATGACCAAGTCAACGATATCAAAACATCTTGCACAATGATAATTTGATGATAAGTGAATACTACTAGCTCTTATTATAGGAGTGATTGCAGTGTTTGGGACTCATCAACTTTGCCACCAATGACACGTAAATTAGCAAAAATTCTCTTAGGGATTACTATACGAATGCGGAGAATGACAGTGGTCATAAAAAAGAGACAATTATAGTTCAAAAAATTTCACTAGAGCATGCTCAAGAAGCACGAAAACGTGTTTGCATAAATATTGAAGTTTCTTATGAGAATGTCATTTCATTCAATGTGAAAATTCCCTTACGTCATTAAATCTATTCCATAGGTGTTTTTGGTTGAGGCTTGAAACTCTCGTCCATGTGTGATTTGAGAACATCTGTGTTAAAGGAGCTGTGTAATACAGGAAAATGCATAAAGAAAATCTAGAGTCGGTCTGGATTGACAATGATGACTTATGGGTGGTCAGGCATAAAGAATAGAAGTTTGAGTAATATTTTGGTAAATAATCCCTATGGTACAATCTTATTGAAACATGCAAAACCATTCAATCAAGTGAATGATGTGAAGTATATTATAATCCGGTGTAAAAGGAAAGCAAACTGTAAACTCAAAAATAGCATTAAAACAAAACATCTCTACAGTTTTAATGTTTCCAAAATGCATCATGCAGCTTCAGCACAACGATAATATTTTAACCACAATGCACTTCAGTATTCATATGAGAATAAACTTCAGTACCAAAACAAGTAAGTTTTAAAGTCGGATCCTAAATTCTAGCGTGGCAAAGAAAAAAACATAACAAAAGCTAGAAGAAAAAAATGAGAATTACCAGCTCAGAAGTTTGGAGCCCCGTATGAGATGTTGACTTGAAGCTAATATCAAGACGTATTGGCTTCACACCAACAGCAACGACATCTTCTGTAATTATTGAATCCTTTGAAGAACTGTTATGTTCTTCAGATATCTTGGATGATTTCTCTTTAGATATATCCGCAATGGAAGAGTTTCCATGTGATAAAGTTATATCACAAGGAACTTCAGCCACAAGCATGATCACAGGAATCTAAATCCAATACATTAGCATATGTCCATGTTGAGGAAAAAAATTAATGAAAACAAAGCATATACGCATCTAACAACATAAATGAACTTGTACATACAAGCACACACTCAAAATAAAATATTAACAGATTGGCAAGCATGGAAAACAAAATTATATGGAGATGATGCAATGCAGAAGTACAGTTAAAAAAAAAAGAGCTTACAGCTGTGTTCTCAACTGTTTTAAGCGAGTCATTCCGAACCCACTCTTGGTTTGCAAGATATCTAGCAGCATGCTGAAAAGAAGATCCAAGACATCAATAAAAAAGATTACAGAATAATGTCATGAAAATTTCAACTTTAGTAAGAATATAAAATTCTATTATTATTTTTTTCCATTGGCATATATCCCCAGATAAAGCTAACCAAGAATAAAACTAAGTCGGGATAAGTCTAATGAAGATGATGCATCTCCAATTAACATCAGCATGACTCAGCCATCTAAATCCAAACAAAAGTAATAAAAGTACAAAAAAATGATGAGAAAAAATGAAAAAAAGATGTAACACATTGATTCTTCACAAAAACACTTTCAACTTCAACATTTCCAAGCAAAACACACAAACAGAGAGACAACCAAACAAAACATACAAACTTGAACAATGATGATCAACTTGAAAGTTAAAACAGTGACGTTGGAGTGTTATTTGTTTTAGTTTAATAAGCAATCACCATTAAAACACTGATATCAAAATTAAAACCAGTTAAAACACCCAAGCAAACACTCAAATTTTAAAGCCTATTACACAACTTTCCAACCACTCAAGCTAAAAGCTAAACCTACTAGGGAATGGTCTGGTGTTCGTTTTGAATAATACATGCACTCAAGTGGGAGAAAAAAATAAATGAACAAGGTCTATAAAAGGTAAGAATAAAAACATCAAATGGGAGGGTAGATTAAAAAAGAATTATAAAAAAGAAACTTGTTAGATTCATTCGACACAATCGAACCTTGAAAGTTAATACAACACGATCCAACCTTGATTCGTGATGCCATTGATAATTGTCATATTTGATAAAGTCTAAACTTTATAAATGGCTATCATGACAAGCAAGCAATGATAAAATGATATAAATATCTATAAACATCATATGACACTTCTAACATAATGCCTGCTGTGAATGAAAAAAATAAACTAATTTTAAACTATAATAGAATAGCATAGTTCCTTAATTGATTTGGCATAGGCTTTGAGGAATATTAATGCTCTACTATGTTCAAAAGATCAACATATTATATTATTTTTTTTCGTATGTTTAAATTTTATATTAGAATTATTTATTATTCATGAAAGGGGCGATTTGCTCCCAGTCCATTTGCTAAACATAAACTAAAAGCTAAGGGACTATTTAGAGCCATTAAAAATATAAAGGAAAATGCTTATAAAATTGAATTGCCAAGGATATAAATATTTTGAATATCTTCAATGTAGCTGATCACTCGCACTATGATAAATGTAAAAAAAAACTATAAATTGAGGATGAGTTTTCTTTTACCCAATGAGCATGACATAGTTTAGTGATGGTAGTCCTTTTAATTTTTTATCTTAATTCACTATTTTGTCTTATCACTTATTAGGGGTTATTTACTGATTATGGGCCTAGGAACAAGTTGGGGCAATACCTTATTGTTATGTTAGGAGAGGTTTTTTCTTGGAATATAGATTTCAGGTTATCTACAAAGAGACTTAGTAGAGACAGTCTAAATAAGGCGAGGAGAAAAGGGGGCAATAATGGAGTCCAATACTTCGCCAGGATATTTTAACCTTCCATAAGGGCTGAAGGTTTAACGATCAGGTTGTTTTCTGGCAAATGGCAAGTTCTTGCTAGCAAATTGAGAGGCAGAAACCGCTCTTGTATATGTAAACCAATTTCAGGGCTGCGGGGAATTCTTGTTCCATTACAGAAAGTGGTCAAGGAATCTTGCTGTCATCCAGCGCCCAATACAATAATCTATCGCCTGCAATTGAAATTTAGCTATTTTCCCATAAGGCCTACAGAGTGAATCAAGTTTCTTGAAGCCATGAATCAAACTAAGACAGGTTCTCTGATTTCCCCTTTTTTTTTCCTTTTTATTGTCATTTCGCCAATCTTGTTTCGATCAATATTCTCCTCTGATTTATTTATTGTTGCAGGATATCTCTCTAGTTGATTACTGCAGGAAAGATTAAATTTCCACTTCAACTCAGATTCTGTAACAATAAACTTAGGAATTCGGCACAAAATCTGAACTTTCAACCTCTTTTTGAAGAAATAATCCGCTTACTTCAGATTAGTATAATCAGCTGTGGTTTATAAATACAGGGAAATCAGATGATGACGAGAGAGAATGGACATTGTCATAATCTGCCAGAACCTCCAACTGGCTATTATGATCTTAATAGTGATGATTAACCCTTTCCATTTATCATTTTGTTTCCTATCATATTATGTTTAAATAGGGTAGAGAGCAATAGCTTTAATTGTTTAGAGTGCTTTATTAATCAAATGTGGAATTGGCAAGCAGCAGAAGCATAGAAAGACCTTTCTAAATCTAAATGCTGGAAATAGGTGGATAATTTTGTTGAAGTTAGTGCTTGGGTTTTTCTGGTGGCTGTTGGTTTTGAGATCGGTCCCTCTTTGAAAGGCTTTTTAAGTTATCTAATGCATTGTTTCTCACAAACAATGAACAAAATTCCAATTCTCTAACTTACATTTGCGTTGCAAGTGGTGTCAAAGAGCCTAACCAGTACGAGTTTAAATTAAAAGAGTTATTTTTCTAAAGATTGTAACTGATTTCATGAGTCCGCTCTCTTTGGTCATGTTTGATATCACATACTTCTGAAACACATAACAATGCTAAACTATTAATAAATTATATCTTCTGAATTGAAACAAATTCAATGCTGCTCCCACGGAGGAAAACAGGATGTTGCCAAAGTTTGATGCCAATTGTCATGAAATCATGGAGAATGTATTCATCACTGTGTGATGCCCATCATGTATGCATGTATGTATGTATACATCATTGATATAAACCTATATCTCATAACCGTTAAATATAATGATTCAAGACGAATAACAACAAAAAAGTACCTGCAGACATGTCTCCTTAATGCCATTTCTCCCTTCAAGAATTCCAGCTTCTTTAATAGGTTCCTGATAAATAACTTAATTAAAATATTGATTAAAAAAAAGCAGCCCTTGGGAGATTTAGCAATTAATCACAAATTACTTACCAAATTCCTTACAGGAGGAAGGGATACAACAAGATCTACGTCACTAGTTGGAAGAGCTAACCCAGTTGAATTAGAACCAAATATATTGGTGCGAGAACGAGGCCAAAGAACCTGAAGTGATCTCGTGATCCGTCTGACAGCCCAATTAATGAATGGCTTCCGGTTCAAATTCTCTGCAGCAACCTTCCGCATGCAACAAATAGTTGAGCGGAAACTTAAGATCAGAGATTCAAGGAGAAATAAAATTGAAAAAAAAGGAAAAAAAAAGGTATGCAAGTACATCAAAAACATATTGATGGTTAACAAAAAAAAAGATATACTCTGTTAATCTCAAATCAAGAACTGAAAAAAATTAATCACTCTAAGCAATTTTTTTTTCTTTGTAGACAAGATCTCTTGTGGATTCCCGTATATTTTCTCACAGGGTATCAGTAAAGCTGTCAAGGTTGTGCCAAGGAAAAAAGTGTTATTCATTTCCTAATACCTCAAAAAGGTCATTGTGTCCTAAAACGCAACATTAACAAGCGAAACAGTCCAGAAAAATAATTTCCAGTATTCTGATATTCTTGATTAACTTTATTAGACATCTAAGAAAAAGGTCCGATCCAACATGCAGTGGAGTGGCAATGACCTTGAATGCTGAAGAATCCAACATATCAATCTATTTTCTGTCCAGGATGGAACAGCAAGAAATGCTATTGAGGAGGGCCAAGTGAACCCCTACCAACTTAGAGATGATCTAACAATATTACAGATGAACATAGTCTGAAGGTAGCCTGTTCCTTTTCCAGAGAGATTTCTACAATTCAGCAGAACTTCCTGGTTTGAATTACATTTGCATTATAGTCCTAACGGCTCAAACCCACGAAAAGAAAGTGAAGTTTATAATAAAAAATTAAAGCTTTTACCCATTCAAAGTTCTAAAAAGGTAGGCTTTGCAGCAATCCCCCACACTCAAATCAACTTTTCAAAGAGCGTTCTTGAAATTACTAGTGAGAGAAAATGCTGAGGAGAGAGTGAAAACACTAATAGTCAAAAAGGGTGCGGCAGAAGTCAATACCTGCTTGCAGAATATGTCAATTTCCTCGTGAAGAAGATTTTGCATCCTTGATAGCGATCCCATGCAAGAGCCATTCAGTACATCAGGTGGATGTAAAGGTAATGCAACATCTGGCTGTAGCATAATACTCTCAAATAAAATTGCAAGCCAAAAATAACCCAAATTAATAAGAATTTATGCAGGATCAAGAAAATAGAGATAAAATACAGCTAACAAATAAAGGAGACACTTGCGTGTTCTTGATCATGGGCAAGTTGAGAAATTTTGATTAGATGATCCTGGAGCAGAGATCCTTGAAGAGATTGAGCCACGGCAGTCACCCCAAGGCCTTTGCTTGCCCAAGTTGGCCACACAACTTCAGCACCATCTAAACAAAGGCGAGTGTCTGCTGCAGTGTTTTCTTCATGGCACCAACCTTTTACACCCCAATTCCTAGGACTTGAGCTACCAGATCTAACAATTGGAAATCCTCGTTTCCTTGATTCTCCAACAGAAGTTGAATGGGGTTGAGGCACTCGTGGAACACAAAGAACCACAGGAGAAGGAGGTCTCTTTGCAAGCGGAGTATCTCTCCTTGTTGAAGGTAAACAAGGGCTTTTACTATCATGACCATGCCTGGAGTCTGATCGAGATCTATTTCTCGCCATCCCTGGAATAATGATTGGGCGCAACATTGGGTATGGAGGTGGATCTCCCTTCACTCCTTCAATGCCAGCAGTTGAGTTAGCAGAAGATTGGATTTTTTCATCCGGGAGGTCTGCCAATGATGGTGAATGCACTGCAGTACTAGAAGCATCATTTCCTGCAATGGAATAACCGAGTGATGGGTGTCCAGAAGCCATATTTTCAAATGGTGAACAATAGGAAGAAGGTGGTGACGCCAAGCCATTTGTACCATAAGAAGGTAACCCCGTCCTACAACCAACCATATCATCAATAGTTCTATTAAGGTCTGCTTCATACCAAGCCCATGAGCCGTCTTCAGAACTGTGGGAAGGGGGACGTGAAAAACCGGTTCCAACAAGTTCAGCGGGGTTCCAATACATAACTCCACCACCAAAATAATTATTATAATCTCTACCAGACCTTACATAAGACTCAGATTCCTCTTCAGATAACCAATAGCATTCATCTTCAACGAAATCAGATATGTTTTTCATATCACAAACATCAATAATATCTCCAGCATGCTTAACGTCATTATCAAAAGGTGCCAGATTAGCCTGCACTCCATGAGCAGCACATGAGGCAAGTCCCGAGAACAAAGGGGGCATGCTATGATTATATGCAGATTCATATCCTATAGTCTGGGTTTGACTCACTCTGCTACAATTTTTAATCATGGGAGGCCAGTCATAGCTCATGGGAAAAGTCAAAGAAGGTAAGATCCGGTTATGTCCAAACTCGTTTAAAGAGTTTCTCAGATGAGCCTTTGATGCCACAAAGGATTGATGATTGTAATAAGGCAATCTGACACCAACATCTAAATGCAGTCTGTCAGTTGCAGGGAGGAGACGTGAATTAATAGATGGAAAATGAATGGGGGTTATGTTGGGCCATTCATATGATGCGCCTCCCATGTAATTTGTGTCTCTGTATGCATGGAATTTACCGCCACCATTGTGTATTACTGTGCTTCGTTCATCAGAAGCTGTATGGCAGCATTCCATTGAAACAAAAGAATTTGAAGCAGGGCCACTAGCAGCATTACAAGTTTGATGTCCGTGCTTCCCCTTATTAGTCAAATTATCATGATCACTGGCCTGAGGGGAAGAGCAAGAGGTAGTTCCCATCCATGGATCATTCTGACTAATGGGATATGTACTATTCCAAAGAGTGTTTTGTAAAGATTCTTTGCTCTTTCGAGGACAATGTGAAACAGGTGTAAACATATAATTTTCTATTTTCCCAGAACTAGGATGGTGTTCTTCAATAGTAGTTGATTTACCTTCAGTAAAACAAAGAGACTGATATTCCTTAGGAATTACAGAGACAGATGTTGCCAAAACATTGTTATATGATGATATATCAACAGGTTTGGGCTGATGATTTGAACTACACACAAAACCACTGGTATCCACCTGTTCTCTCTCAGTAGATAGAACAGTGTCATTGCTGTATTTGTCTTTAGGTTTTCCAGTATTCTTTACATTAGAGCTTTTATTTTTGGCCTTTTTTCTTCTACCATTTCTTTTATCATTAGTTTCCTTGCTATCAACTGAAACTCCCACTTTTGAGTTGTCCTACAACAAATAATAACCTTTAGTACTTTGACAGGCCAGTAAAGAAACAACTGAAAGCTTTACCATCTCATCATGTGCAGATAATGATTTCACTTCAGGGGCATTATTTATAACATGAGAAACAGCGCCATCTATGTCTTTTCTAGCAACCAAAGAAGTACTCTCTTGGCAGCAAAGCTCAGAACTACAATCGTGTTTCTGTAAGAGAATCCTTTCTATTGATTACCATTCCAAAGTAGAACTCAATGATAGGAAAATACAGAGAACAAAGAAATATAATTTGAAACTGATGAAACTAGGAAATACCTTATAATTTTCCTGGGACATAGAAGCAGAATTGTAAACCTTGTGCACAGTATTAGACTTCCTTGAATAACGGGATTTGTTTTTACTTTTCCTACATACTGAATTATGTTTTCCTTCAGATTTCTCAGGGAAGATACTCTGGTTTGTATCAACCATGAGTTCATGATTTATGAAATTAGCATACAAAACAATGAGAAATCCCTGCAATTTCATCTTTATATTGTCAAAAACCGAGAGATTAGAACCCGGTGAACAAAAGAACAATTTCTCAGTTTCAACTTTGCACGACTGCCATGCTATAAGTACATTGGATATGGCATGAACTACAACCAACTTTTTCAAAGTATTAGCAAGATTATTTGGTACTCTAGATATTGCAATAGGCAGAAAATCCATTCCAAACTCTGCATCGCTTCTGAAGCATGCATGCTTAGCCTTTTTCCAAGATGACAAGTCACCATATCGCAAATCCATATTTTTTCCAATGTTTAAGATACCAAATCTGTTGGTCAAAGCAGCATTTTCTCCCTTAATTATCTCATTAACCTGCAAACTTAAGTTTACAAAAGTTAGTGATATTTAAGTATAAACTTCAATGCAAAAAAAGTTATATCCGCAAACTGAATAAGACTTTACCATGACTTAAAATTACTTCCCACTATGACAATTTAGATCAACTAAAGCACAAAATGCTAAATTCAGCATAAGGTTAAGCTATGAACTATGCAACATTGCATGAATAACAGCCTCTATTAAGAATCAGACTGAAAATTTCCACTTTTTAATATCCATTATTGCATTCTTTTCAGGAAGCTTTGTTATCAAGATGCATGTTATAAAATATTTCACTGCATGTGCTATGGTGTAATAAGATCCTTCTTAAGAAAAAATCCAACATCATAAGAGTGAAATGTCCCAAGTAATTAAAAGCTGTGAAGATCCACGTCCGCATCTCTTGATGTCTAAGTACATGCATGATTTATGAAAACCAAATTACAAACCATAGAAGCAGAAGAGGTAAAAATCATTGATATCCCAAACCAAAAACAAAACTGTCAATTAAAAATAATAATAATAATAATCATGAACATTCTGGTGACTAAAATTATAGGATTTACAAATTAAACTATTGCATTTCTAAATCACAGCACTAAAATTATAAATCCAGACTCTAAAATAAATCTTAAACAATTATTAATATCAGATTTCTAGGTCTCCAATGAACACAAATACCTATTTATTATAAAAGGAATTACTTTTGGGGAAATATATGATATAAAATGTCAAAAAGTTAATTGTTCAAGCAATAATTAAAAACATGTGTTGACATTAAACCAAAATTAATTCAAACGATTTAGAAAGATTTGGGTAGTAAATGAACCAACTCATTTTGATGAACAACTCAAACTCGACTCTACTAATACTTGATTATCTTGGTTCAAATTAGTAAATAAATTTCAAACTAAAAAGTTTAATGAAAAAGTTTGAACATAGTCTAACTCACTCATGAATGTTCACGATCAAACTCATTTGTTGTTGAGCAAGTAATTTTTTAAATGTTGCATGCATATATGACATATTACAACAACAACAACAACAACGCCTTAATCCCACCACGTGGGGTCGGCTACATGAATCCTTTTTCTCCACTGCGTCCTATTTAGTGTCATATTTTCATTTAGTTCTAGTAAATTAAGATCATTTTTAATACAATAAGCCCAAGTCTTCCTAAGTCTACCTCTGCCTTTCTTAACACAAGTCGAATCTAAAACATTTACTCTCCTAATCGGATCATCTAATGGTCGACGTTTAATATGACCAAACCATCTAAGACGACTTTCTCTAATTTTGTCTGTCACAGGAGCTACACCAACCCTATCACGAATATATTCATTCTGTATTTTGTCTCTAAGTGTAAAGCCGCTCATCCACCTAATCATTTTCATCTCGGCAACACTTAACTTATTATTATGTTTCTCTTTTAAAGGCCAACATTCAGCGCCATAGAGCATTGCAGGTCTCACCACCGTCTTATAAAATTTTCCTTTCAGTCTTAGCGGTACTTTTCTATCACACAAAAGGCCCGAAGCATTCCTCCACTTCAACCAACCAACTTGAATTCTACTATTAACAACCCCATCTAATTCACCATCGCTTTGGACAACGGACCCAAGATATCTAAATCGCTCACACCTTTTAATAATTTGATCACCCAAAGTCACACTTCTGTCACTAGAGCTATTACTACTAAAATTACATTCCATGTATTCAGTTTTAGTTCTACTTAAACGAAGGCCTTTAGAATCCAATGTAGACCTCCATAATTCAAGTTTTTCCTGGGCTTTTTCTCTCGTTTTATCCACGAGAAGAATAGCATCAGCAAAAAGCATACACCAAGGTACATCCTCTTGTAGATGTCCAGTAAGACCATCCATAACTAAAGCAAAAAGATATGGGCTTAAAGTCGATCCCTGATGTAAACCAACAGAAATAGGAAAATATTTTGTCAATCCTCCTTCAGTTTGAACACAAGTAACAGCTCTAGTATACATATCTTTAATGACTTGAATATAAGTCATATCAACACATTTCTTCTCGAGAACTCTCCAAAGGATATCTCTTGGAACCTTATCGTAAGCTTTTTCTAAATCAATAAAAATCAAATGTAGATTCTCCTTATTATCTCTGAACTTCTCCATCAAACCTCTCAATTAATATATATGACTTATTATTTAAATAAAATTTGATTAATTACAACTTATTTGATTATGATAACATTTTATAATTTATAACACCATACAATATAAATTCAATGTATCTTTTTATTTCAATGAACTAATTTGTTAGTACTTACTTATTTTATTTTATTGCAAGTGAGTTTATTTACAACTTACACATTATTTAATTTGTTTGGTATAAATTAGTTAAATGTTAGTTTGAAATTTATTCAATTATTTATTTATTTAGAACTATAAATTTATTTTTTAAAAATTTTTTTATAAAAAATCAAATCACATTTAAAGTTTTTAGCTTGCTTACTAAAATCAAGTACAAATCGAATAGTTAATTTTATATGAAAAATCAAACACTCATTCAAATTTTTAACTTGTTCAATTAATATAATCTATATTATGGACAAACCTTCTTACCTAGATGTTCTTGAAGGAAACAAATTGAAAGAGTCCTTTAGACCTAAAACGGTACAGTTGCATCTTCCTCAAGAATATCATGAGCAGTTTGAACTTGGCTCTTCAAATAAGCCAAGTACAAATCAATTATGATACTCAAAAAATTTAAGCAAGCCAAGTACAAACATGTATGTGAAAGCTAGGCTCAAGCGTGTACTGAACATAAACAAATCATGGTTTGACCAAGTACAATCCATGACCTACTCAGCTCTAATCGGCCCGAATGCTCGATTACAACCCTAAGAAAGATGAACTCTCATGTCATGGTTGGACTTTAGGGATTTGATTCATTAAACAAGTCAAGCTAGAGTAAGCCTAGTGTTTGCTCATGTTCAATTCGTTCTTTTTTTTTTGTTTGAAATGGGCTCATAAATAGCATGTCCTATTCGACTTGATTCCAATCCTAAGTGTTCGTTCAGCTCATGTCAGGCTCAAAATTAGCTTAAACGATTTAAAAAACAAAAAAAATAACATTTTTAATAGAAAAAAAACAATATACCAATGTTATAACATTATTATTTATTTAATTATTTACTTAATTCGAGTCAAAAAGGAGTCAAACACAATCGAACATAGATCTGTTTGTGTTCAACTTGTATATAAATCTAGCTCAAATAATTTGTTATTGTTTAGCTAGCATATTTCACGAACAAATTAAAGGCGAGCTAATTAGCTAGCCAAACACTAGTTGCTCGCAAATGATGACTTTTTTTTTACAGTTATTTGAAAAAGTATAAATGAATGGGTGCGCGTTCCTAACCAATCCACAAATCCAACTCAAGTTATTTAGTAGGTCAAACAAGAGTTGTTTGCAAATAACAAACTTCTTTGATAGCAATGGAATTAAAAAAATAAAAAGATAGAAAAAATTTTAAATGAACGGTTGCACATTACTTACCCATAAATTGTTGTGTTTTTATTCATTTACTTTGTATTCCTTCGATCCACTTCCAAGTACACAAAAATACCTCTGAAAAGCATCCCAAAAAAAATGCATTTCCGGTTTATCCGACAAACATATGCTCATATATTAATGAATATTGTTAGCGTCATTCCCTTGGAAAAGATGTAAGTTTGAGATATAATAATAGCATTTAAAACTCCAAAGAATAAACTAAGAGACTCTTTGGGATCACTTTCTATTTTTTATTTTTATTTTGGTTTTTAGTTTGTTTTTTTTTCCTGTTTTTAGAAAATGTATTTGATAGTATTATGATTTATATGTTTTTAAAAATAAAAAATATAAAACATGTACGATTTGGTTTTTTTTATTTTTTTTAAAGAAAAAAGCTTATTTTTTTATAAAACAGTTAGATTCACGTGCGCTCCAGTATTAAACTTTGCCACCCATGGCGTACAGGACGTCTTCCTTGCTCCACCAAGCACGAAGCATTACCTGTGGGTGTCGGGTGGCGACTACGACTGATGGAGGTCGGCGGCGACAGCTACGACTGAGGGATGTCGGCGGCGACGGCGAGCAAAGAGCGATGGTTGGCGAAGGTCACCAGCCAGCTGCAGCGAGCAGTGGCGGATAGGGTTGTAAACGAGCCGAGCCTGAGTGAGCTAAGGCTGGGCTCATGTTCGAAATTGACTCATAATCGAAATGACTCGTGAACTGTGTGTTCGTCGACTAGAAATTGGCTCATTAAAATAAAAAATTATTATAATAATTAAATTTTTAAATAAAATTAAAATAATATTTTTTTTCTAAAAAAAATTGTTTGTATAAAAAATTAATTATATATAATTTATAATATTTAATTTTATAAATATTTATTATGTATATTTATATATATTTATTTTCTTATTTATTTATTTACTTTCGAACCAATTCGAGTCGAACACGAGCGAACAAACTTTTGTTCGTGCTCGGCTCTTTTCCATTTCGAGATTAAAAATTTGTTCGTGTTTGACTTGTTAGGCTTAACGAACGAGCCGAACACGAGTTGTTTAACCAGCCGAACACAAGGTGTGCGCGAATAAACGAACACATGGTGTTCGCGAATAGCGAGCCAAATCGACAGCCTTAGTGGTGGCGGCGGGCAGCGGGGGCCGGCTGAGGTAGGTAGAGGGTGAAGGGTTGCACACGGCGGCGACGGGGGGCGATGAAGACGGTGGAGGTGATGGTTGGTGTGGGCCTATAGCGAGCGATGGGGACAGTAGGAGGCAGTGGGCAACTAGTGGTCGACAACAACGGTGGAAGCCGCAAAGGAAGGGGCTTTGTGGCGGGCGATGGAGGTAGCGTGAGACTGGCGGCCAGCAGCGGTGGTGGAGGCGACGGAGGGCAGGGGCCTATGGTGGGTAGCGGCGGGGGGGGGGGGCAAGGAACACCG